AAACAAGTAATTTGATAAACTGGAGTAGATGATTAATAAAAAAACGTGTTAATAGATAAATAACAAAGGGGAAAAAGTATTATAACTAAATAGGAAGTCACTCTTAGGCTTCTGATGTAAGCAGATAATCTTTTAGGTCTTTTCTAACTCTCTAACGAGATGTGGCATTCTTGATGTTTTGAGGTATATTAGTTCAAAAAATCATTAGCAGCAAATCTGACCCTGCATTTGCCATAATTAGTTCTTGGTCGGTGTATAAACACGTTTTGATTGATCCCCAACGTGTATGATATCAGTGAACATCTCCGATATTCGAGAAATAGGAGTCATGGATTCTAGGGAGCAAATAATTTTGGTGCTTGTACACATACAAGTTCACCTAGTTAACGCCGCTTTGTAATGTAATAGTGTTATCCATAGACTCATTTTCTCATGCTTTTTGTGTTAATGCCAGATTGTCTGTTTGCCGTATAGTTGATTTAGGAGCAATCAAGTTGCTGATATTAACTGCAGTTTGCTATTGCTAAATACCATTTAAATTTTCACTAACTGATCAAGTCAGGAGAAGGAAAGTATTCCATGAATAATTTGTAGAGTTTTCATTTAGCGACTTGCTGTCTTGGTAACACATCGTCGATATATCAGCAACAATTAACAAAGAAGTTATTTCTCAAGCAACAGAAATCAGGATTACTCAGGAAAATATTGTTTAGTGCAGTTTCCAGTATTATATCGATATTATTTAATGATACTATCCGTATCTGATTTGTTTAATCATCATGTTCTTATTGTTCGGAGTATGCTATTGCTCATTTGTCGCATACCGAAGTGCTTTGTTTCTGATATTAACCATTTTGCTGCAATTCAATAACGATTTATATTAAATGCTTTTTCTTAAACAGAGGGAACCTCCATTATAGAGTGTTATTTAAGCTAAAATAGCTATTTTTAGTAACGGTTTTTAATGTGTAGAAGAAAAACAAGTGGACCACGCGAGAGGGATTTACTTAACAGGCACTAGAATCTGAAGAGGTGTTTTGATCTGCACACAATATCATTAAGTAATATTAAATTGTTGTAAAACACTCTATATAACAGCTTAAATAAAATCTTAAAACTGAAAGCTAAGAAAAGGAAATACGCGCCCTGATTGGTTTAAAATCGTGTTTCTATTAAACAATTAGATTATGAGCTGGAGATTTCTGTCGCGTGATAGTTGACTATCGAAATCGAGAGCGAATAATCTAATTGTTTTGGTATAAATCTACTAGTCGTTCAAAACTTTAACTAAATCCTCTTTACACCTCGAAAACGCAAAGTAACAGAATACATAGCTGTTGACTTAATGATGGCACAAACAAAGAGAATTTACATTTTGATGATCAAAGTAAACAAGCTGTTTTTCTTATTTTTGTCGCGGTATTTTCTAAAGGAAATAGAAAACATTTTCTCCGTGTTTCTATCGAGTTTTAGTCTAAATCTACTAGTGTTCTATCACGAATGGCCCTTGCGCTTGGTTAATAAGATATATTTACAAACTAAACATGGCAGGAACATATATATACAAATCAGTACGTTAGAGGCCAGAACTATTAAGGAAGGTGCCTACTAAATACGAAGGTTTTGCGCCTGGTTAGGACCATGCGGAAAAAGTAGATCTTTTCAAGGGATGTTAGAATCCACAACGAAAACTGGGGGTAGCCACGCATTTTTTCGACATAATTAGCCTTGAATCTCAACAAAAATGCTGACATCAGCATTTTTCTGAAAAAAGAAGAAAAGAATATTTCCTGAGAGATTTCCTTAGAATTCG